ATATACATATGTATATATATATATCTATATATATATATATATGTATATCTATATATATGATATATATATATATCTATATATATTTATATATAATATATCTATCTATATCTATCTATCTATATATATATATATATCTATATTTATATAATACATATATATACATATATACACATATATGTACATATATATATATATATATATATATTATATATATATATTATAATATATATATATATATATATTATATATATATATATATGTGTATATATATATATTATATATATATATATATATATATATGTATATATATATGTATATATATAAAATATATATATATATGTATATATATGTATATATATATATATATATATATATATATATATATATATATATGTATATATCTATATGCATATATATACATATATATATATATATATATATATATATATATATATATATATATATATATATATAGATACATATTATACATATATATTTATGAACATATATATACATATATATATATATATATATATATATATATATTATATATATATATATATATCTTGGTTTCATAATCGTACTTATCTCTACTAGTTTTATTCATTATTTATTGTTTTGGATAATTTCCGGTGATTGCTTTGAAATAGACGTAGAGGAGAGTTGAGGAAAAATGTCATGTTACACAACTGTCTCCCTCCACAGGTCAGCCGAATGATGCCCTGGCCACTGCATTCAGTGAGGTTGCAAACAGTGGGGGTTTGGTTGGCCATGAGGACCCAGGGTCAGCACAAGGTGTTAAGGATTCCCTCGCTGCCCTTGCAGCTGCAGCAGAACTTGACCAAGTGCGGAACGATGTTGCTGCAGTGAGTATTGTTCTTTAGAGGCTTTAGATAAAAAAGAAGGCACTTACATGCAGCAAACTTTTAAAACACTTTGCTGTGATGGAAGAAATATTAAATGATAAGATTCGAGCTTGCTTATTTTTTGTCTTTTAATGTCTTAATAACTCAATAGGTGGAACACATGATGGAGGAGACAAAATACAGCCATCTTGGCAACAGTGGGGAGCAACAAGGTGTTGCTGTAATGCCAGAAGATGCAGATGGATTGCATCATAGTGTGGTTGTGAACCTTCCTATTGAGGTTTGTATTGAGGTGCTAATATTATGCATTGATATATATATATATATATATATATATATATATATATATATATATATATATATATATATATATATATGTATGGATTTACATTTCTTCTTTTTTCTCCTTTGTACTGTAGACATGTATAAATTACAGTAGTTCTGTTTCATAGTTTTGTCATATTGAATGGTTTTAAAGTCTTGGTTTTAGATTTAATTGGAATAGTAGATGTAATTATGAAAAATTTAATTGATATATTGACATGAGGAATAGATGGGGTAGAAAGGGATTATGTATATTCTCTATTATGCTGAATCATATTTTGGGTTCAGTGATTAAAGAATTGGAGTGGAAATTCTTTGAATATGATAAGAATTGTTGTTGACATTAATGTTCTAGAGAAATTATTTAGACAAAAAAATAGCAAAGGAGTTTCAGAAGATAATGATATTTTTCTAAGAAAAAAAAAAATAATGAAAATTCTAGTTCTATGGAAAAATTGCTGTAGACACTGAAAAACAAATTGTTTTGTGGAAGCATTATACTAATAATTCTTTTGTTATGAATGACTTCGAACTAAGATACTGAGAATAAAAATGCTTCAACAGAGACATTTTTGTTTTTGTTAGCAGGAAAAGACAGTCACCATGGTACCACTACCCCTAGCCCCATTTCTTCAGCCCGAGGATCCAGATGCCACCTTTTATAATGAAGTCTATCACTACCTTAGATCAGGGTCCTTTCCCGAAGGTGCGACCGACACATATAAAAAAGCAATCAGGAAAAGAGCTACAAATTATTTGGTGAGTGTTTTGTTTTAGTCTTTGGGAGATAGAAGTGGTACTTGGACTCTATTATGGAAATATGTAAGTATGGTGCCATTAGAGTAGTTCATTTGCAAGGCTAAATAAGGTAGACTGATTTTGTTTAGTTATTGTTACTTGAATATTTAAAAGCTACTTATAGAAGCTGAATATGTAATATCAGATGTATTAAGTACTGCAGTGCATATGAAGTTAAGCACACGCAAATGCCAGATGAGGTTAATATAACATGAAATATAAATTGCAGATAAATGAGGAAGGAACATTATCTTATGGACATAAGATGCCCAAAGAAGTCATCACAAGTGCAGAAAAACAGAGGAGCATAATTGAATTAGAACATGTCGACCATACAACAGGTAGGATAATTTATGCATTTTTCTACCACTTTAAACTAGTTACTTTGGCACATTTGAGTTTTTTTTGAGTGTAATTTTCCTATAATGATTATAATGGTGAAGAGATATTTCTGCAGTGTGAAAGATGGAATTGAAATTATTTCAGGTGTACATTTTGGAGTGAAGAAGATG